CATCTGGTGGAAATTTACTACTAGGCGTTTAAGCACCGAAAATCTTTCATCATGCGTATTCTGCGCCATTGCTCTGTTATATTTTGCTTGAATTTGTTCTGTGAAAGATAGGTTGATGTTCAACGCTCTGTATGCTTAATAACTGTCCATAGTTCTATTGGTTAGCCTATCAACGTAAAGTTAAAAGTGCTATTTACCAACATTGGTAAGAGTTGGTGATTGACAAGAGACCATTTCCATTGAAGCTAACTTGGCTCCATTCAGCATTGACAGCTTCCAGTGTACTCACTTTGCAGATCCAATCAGTGGCGGTGCAATGCATGGCGAACATTCTTCCTCAACTCCCACTAGCCACAGTGGAGAACGTCCTCCTTCCATTTGCTCTGCAGTCAATGGTCGAAGCTGCCAATGGCAACACCGTAAGGGTCTGTGGTGGTGGAAGCAGTGAAAGGGCTGTCCGCCAAAGCGCCTCCTACCCAGCCCGCGATGCATCCTGTCTCATTCCCGGCTACCTTAACGAGTTTGACTTCTTCCTTTCCGAGGGCGAACCAGTCATCTCGCTGTGCTGTAAGTTCTGCTTGTCCCTTCTGTCAACAGATGGGTAGAGTATGCTGCCATGTGACACCGAAATGATCATGTAGCTTAAAAAGAACAAATTTCTTTAGAGAAAGCCGGTTGAACTAGGACAATTTGGTTAATAATTGTGAGTGCTTTTAAAGATAATCATTCGCTCCAGAATACAAACATCAGAACGTTAGTCTATGAGATTTGAAATGCAACTGCAAGTGAGATGCATATTCTATGCAAAGCCGCCCGCGGGTCACGAGGTGCACCTCTTCATTATTCATGAGCCATGCATCCGCACTACCGGCAAAAGCCTGGTCTCTTTTATTGCTTATCACCTCGTCAAATTCCTTCCCCGCCATTCTCGCATGTATTACATTTAAATTAACAAATAGGAGAAGAAAATAAACCATTTTAAACATTCTTCTCCTTTGAGGAAAGAGAGTTTAGAAAGACGCACCGAACTTGCAGTGGATTAAAAGGTAGCTACCGATGAATAAGTGGAGGTTCAGATAAAAATGGTATTACTGGGATGGAATAGAATGAGTTTTGTAGATCTATGTTAGTCCCTCTTTTTGGCAGGCCTATTGAAAGCCATTCTCCACGAGCGCAGAACAATCCTTTCACCCTCGATGATTGCTATGGAGATTCTACCCTGCCTGCTACCGCAAACCCTCAATAAGCAGTGGCAGTTTAGCGAGGTAAGCGTGGATGAAACCGATGTTTTCACCTTTATTGGGGCTAATTTATAATGTCCTTATTATTTT